GAGTGTTCACAGCAGGTTTTATTAAAAATAACTAAAAAACAAAAAAGGAACAACTCAAATGTCCGTCAACTCAAGAATGGATAAACAAAATGTGGTATATATCCATACAAAGGAACATTATTTGGCCATAGAAAGAAGTGAAATTCTGATACATGCTCATGGACGAACTAAAAAAACCATTATTCTAAGGAAAAGAAGCCAGTCACAAAAGACCACATATTGTATGATTACATTTATATGAAATATCTAGAATAGGCAAATCTATGCGCAGATCAGTGGTTGCCAAGAGTGAGAGCTGGCTGTGGGAGTGACTGCTAATGGGTATTGGGTTTCTTTTTTGGATAATAAAAATGTTCTAAAATTGATTGTGGTAATGGTTGCACTCTGTATATATACTAAAAACCACTTACTTGTACATTTTAAATGGATGGATTTTATGGTACATGAATTATTATCTCAACAAAGACGTCAAAACGACAACAACAAAAAGATTGACCAGTGGTGGTGAGACCATGAATCCTGTTCTGGATCACTCATATTCCAGATGTCTTCCTGGCACTGTTTACAAAAGCACAAATATGTAGGGCAAGAGTCACCTTCTTTCACCTGAGGGAAACAAAATTATAGCACCTCCTTAATGACAACCATCTGGCCAGCATGATGCAAGCTTCTGTTATTTTTGGAATGCAAAGCTGCAGTGTGCTAGTGCCCTAACCTGCTAGAGAGATCCAAGAAGCCTACAGCTGGCCAAAGCTCATGGCAGCAGCCCTCCTATTTGCTGAGTGGGCAGGAATAGGAGCTAAAACCACAAAGTAGAAAAGCACAGCTCAGAAACCTCTGTATAGCAAAACATATGCATAACTTTGGGCACTCAAAGCCTTGTTCACTCCTGAACTCCTTCCCATTTCCCACCCCCAGAGTCTGCTATTCTAGGTCAAACATACTTTAAATATAGGTATGTTATGAATCAGCTAGAATTATATAATGATAAAGCAGGAAGGACCTATAAAATTATTATGTAATGGAGCACTGTCTCTGGAGCCACTTAATAACTGTTTGACCTTGGGCAACTTCCACCTCTCTGTACCTCAGTGTTTTTCATCTGGTAAAAGAGGACAATAAAGGCAACTGTTCTCAAAATTGCTGCAAAGATTAAATGACTTAATCTATGTAAAATGTGTAGAATAGTGCCTGGCACATTATAAGTGCCAATAAATTTTTTAATATTCTTATTATAAACTGGTAAATTTGACTATTTTAATACAATAAGACACTAAAGCTCAGACTGGTAAAAATGACTCTGCAGTTGACAATGTTAGAGCTGGAATCAGACTTCAGGTCTCTCTGACTCCTGAAACAGTGTTCTAGAGCATTTAATGCTTCACCCTGCATGTAGAAGACCCCTTAACTTTTACGTCTTAAAGGATACAAATAACAAACACATAATGCCTAGCATTGTGTTTCACACAATATGAGTGTTGTAAAATGTTTCATTTGTTCTATTTTCATCACAGATTTAATCTTCTATAATAATATCTGAAAAGAAGTTTTGACACTAAATCCCCAAATATCCAATGTTCTGCCCCTCAAAAGACAGGATGACTCAAGACTGAAAAAAACACACATAAGCTCCGTCTCTCTCTCTCTTTTTTCCATTTTTTACTGAAGGAGCATAGGGTACCTGAGTATGCCTAGCATTTGAGGGAAAAGAGACTTTTCTTCCTTTCTCTTTCTGCATTCTAGAGGATATACTCATGCAAGCAATCTAGATGCTATTCTCAGGGCTTGATGATGTCTCCAACTTTCAGTAACTGATACTTGTCACTTAAATTCAAGAGGCAAGAGAACACAAAATAATTATACATAATCCTACAAAACTAAGTTTATTAAAAAAAAAAAGAAAAAAAGAAATAATTATACATAGTATTTGACAAAATACAATAAATGCAAGTGAGATACAAAGGGAGCAAACTTTCTACAGTACACTGCAACCAGAGTAAGCTTTTAAACAAGTTCATCATTTCTGTTTATCACAAATACATACATGCATGCACATACACATACACAATCACATCACAGTGTTTAAACCAGTCTTTGAGGCCCTCTTAAAGTCAAGCCTCCCACACACACACTCCTGCATCTTTGTTGGAGCCTCACTCTCTTCAGCTATCCAGCCAGATAGGTACTCTTTTCTTTCCTCAAGTTCAGGACTCTCTATTCTGCTTTGGGGCTTTCACACTGGCATTCCCTGTGCCTGAAAAGTTCTTCCTTATTGCTCTTCTGCCTTGGCCTCCCCACCTAACTGGCTTGATTTATCCTTCTAGCTCTGCTTCAATTTTTTCCTGAAAGAAGCCTGCCTCCACAACCCAGACTAGCCTCCCCTTCCCTACAATCACACACAATTGGAATATGCTTCTGATCATTTAGCCAATTAATATCTTTCTTCCCCACCAGACTGCAGGCTTGAGGAGGGCAGGGGCTATCCACCTGTTCAACATTGCTTCCCCTGTGCCTAGCACAGTGCCCAGCACATAGTAGGTGGTGAATAAAATTAACAACATCCTCCAAGGATTCAAAAGATCAACTGGTCAATCAACTGGGAAACTGATTTCCTAACTTTTCCGCTCAAATTCAACAAAAAGAATCCCATATCAAGCTGTCAGCAGAACAGAAATACACAAACAGATGCACAGGTTATGTACTCTTTTTGGAGAAAAATTCAGAGTAAACAAAAATTTGGATTGAGATATATGTTTTAAAGTTATTATGTGCAAAACCACAAGGAAAAAAAGTTCTTTTTTAAAACAAGCCTTTTAAAAGTAGTTTGTCATTAACACACAATGCACATGTTCTTTTGGGAGACCAACTTGCAAAGGAGGGTAAAGGGTGGAGGCATGTGATCCTCCTAGGCAATTACTGTTCCTTTCCAAAGTAAATTTATCTCCTAATGGAAGAGAATGTGCTGAACTATAAATCTAAGTATATCCGGAAAAGTACCCAGTGATGTGATGGGCTTCTATGAACAGTATGCCCAAAGGAGGAGGCACGGGGGTCAGGGGAACAAGTCGCACAATGAGCTTAAAGAGACTTCAAAAGGAAAATTGCCTGGTCAAGCCTCCTCCCCTTAGGTTACTATAGCTTTTATCAACCTCTGTCATTCATCAAACCAAAGCCCAGCTTTGAGTTACCCATATCTAATCTAATTGCTAACTCCACCAAAGGTCCCTGAAGCAAAAGCCAAATTTTCTAAAGAAAACGTCTCTACTCATTCAGTCCCTACTAATGATTACGGAAAAAATAAACAGAACTCTCTGCTAACTACACTATGCAAAAGGAAAAGATTCTGGGTAAGCCCAACAGGTGCACTTTTTGCTGTGTTGTGTGACCTCCTTAAAGACACTAAGCCAATGGATCCTTCCAGATACACCCACCCTTAAAACACCCAAAGCATCGCCACAGTACACTCTTTAAAAAAACTGTCCCACAAAATAAAGGATGAGAAAATATCTTTCCCCCACTAAGAGACACTGGAAATATTTCTGATTTCAAATATATTGCCATTAAAATTTTAAATACCTAGTCCCTTACCTTTAAGAAAAAGTTTAATTTCAAAAAAAAGTGCCTGGCACAGTTTCCAGCATATATGCTTTTATTATTAATAAATACTGGTTGCACAATCACAAAAATGCTCGTTCTGAACCATCTCCACAGCTGAAAACTAGTTATAACCTTCTCAAGAAATGCAGCTTTTACTTCCACAAATTGGAAAAGGGGCGGGGTGCTATTTTTAAGTCATTGTGCTAGGCAGGGCAGGGAAAGAGTTGCTAATATCTGCGTTCATTTTAGGGCAATGTCTCAGTCTGTAAAACAAAAAGGAATGCTCCGTGAGAAAATAAAAAACCTCGCGGATACTTCGGAGCTTTGAGCTGGAACTCTGATACCCTGGTCTGCATGCAGATGACTCTGAAGGTGACAAAGGGAAAGTGTTTGCACTGGGAACTCTGATAAAGGATTTTTCACCTCTGGAATTCGAGGTCACTGCAGGCACTTATTTGAAACCTCCCTAACTGGAGGACCCCACATGGGGCGTCAGCGCCTTCCTCCTGCTGCCGTGGGGGGACCCTGTGCCTTTGAAGTCACCCCAAATCTTAGCTTTCCTTGAAGTGAAAGGGCAGCTACTGCTCTCACCCATCCCCAAGAGGGGGCCGTATCCATGCAGCAGGGGTGACAGGGTCCCGTGAGAGAACTGCTTCAGGACATATTCCCGGTGTGCGCCCGCCCCTGGTGTCAGGAGGGACCGTGACCCCGACGCCCCAGGCGCGTCCCGATGCCGCCCTCCGACCCCTCAGACAAAGGAGCGCCCCGGACGCGCCCACTCACCGCTCAGATAGTTGGTCCACTTGTACAGCACCCCCTCCATGGCGCCCACGGCGCCCCGGCCCCGCCGCGCCGGGGCCGCTTGCCCACGCCCGCCGGCCCCCTCACTGCCCCAGGGCCCAGGAGGCGAGGAGCACCGGCAGCAGGGCCATCGCCCGGCGCGGCCCCGACGCCCACTCCCGGCGCCCGGGCCCGGTGCGGGGACGCCCGGCCCGCCTCACATCCTCGGCGCGGGGGCGGGGTCACTGCGGCGGCCTCGGCGCGAGAAGCCGCGGGCAGCCCGGGGGCCGGCGCGGCGGGGCCGGGCGCGCCGTGCACAGGAGGCCGAGGCACTGCGTGGGCACGACGGGCGGCTAAGCCTTCAAATTGCCACAGACCAGGCAGCCGGTCGCGGGCGGCGCCACCGCGCGTTACCCGAACCCTGGAACCCCGGGCCGGCGCGCGCTCGCGCATGCCCAGTGAGCCTTGCTCGCGCACGTTCCCAAAACCCACTCTGGGGCTTCGCGGCGGCCGGGCTGACGTGGCGGGAAGGGCAGGCTGGGAGATTGAGTCCTGGACGGCGGGCTGGGGAGGGGGAGGCCCCCGGGACGAGGGTGGGACGGTTCCGACTGTAAACGCTGCCGTCGGAGAAGGCTCCCGCCGCCCGGTGTGCGGAGGGCTTCGTGACCGCTTACGGCACTCCCCGGGTTCTAGTCCCCAGAGTCCAATTCTTATTTAATAGCTATCGAATCCCCCACACCCTAGGTCCTAGACAGGGGAGCGTGCGGAGATGATTGGAATTTCAGGAAGGAATACTGTGAGGCCAGTGTAAACAGGTGTTGTCCTCGCTCCAGGAAGTGTGGTTCATGGACCCGGTGCGTTGACATCACCCAGGAGCTTATTAGAAATGCAGAATCTCGCTCTGAGCCCAGACTTCCTGAATCAAAATCTGCATTTTAACGAGATCCCCAGGGAATTCCTAAAGCCATCAGACTGTGAGAATGCGCCGTGCCAAAGATACTTGGCCAGGAAAAATGTTAACCATAGATTAAATGGATAGACAAGGTGGGAAAAGTGTGCAATCCAAATCCAAATTGCTTTAAGTATTTGTCACAGATGCATGCCCCAAAATGTTAGGATGATTATTCGTGGATGGTGGCGTTAGAGGTGATATTTCTTTTTCTTTAAGGTTGGCAGATTTAGCAAATAAAAATGCAGAACAATTATTTGTGATGTATTTGAAATTCGAATTTCATTCGGTTCCTGTATTTTATCTGGGAATCCTACTGCTTCCAGTTTCTTACAAATCAATGAGCACGTATTGCTTTTGAAATTAGACAAAGAATGTAAAACTAGAAAATGTAAACTAAGATGAGGCTCTGTACGTGTCGTAAGCTTGATTACCATTTCTTCTTTAAAGCGGGGGTCTGCACGTGCTTATCCATTATTTGCCTTCAGCACCAAGATTGCTAATTATTAGCAGCGGCCACGTTACGCGGTGCTGTGTAATGAATCACACCTGAATTGAAGGCGGAGCTCAACTGTTTGGGGGTCAAATGACCTTAAGTAGGACACTTAACCTTTGCTAGCCTTAAATTTACTTATCTTTTAAATGGGCAAAAGGAACCTGCCTAACTGGTGTAGTGGGGTTCATGCACCAGGAACGCACTTTGTGAACCCTGAAGCACTAAGTCGTTATAGTTTATACCGTAAATCATTAAACAGCGGAAGCGCAGGATTATGGCATCTTTGGAGGGGGGCGCTCTCCAACAGCGAGCGTAAACAAGTCTTTCCTGAAACGCCTACACAGTTTCACCCGGCCCCGGGGACTACTCCCACCTTACTCAGCTGGGGTTCTTTACACCGGTAAGTCAGCCGGCGGACTTTCCGGTCGGCTCCACGCCCTCCCCCTCTCCCACAGTCAGGCATGTTGCGTTCCTTAATCCGCCGGGCTCTAGGACCATTCCGAGTGGTTCGCCGCCTGGCGGCTGCCGGGCACGACCAAACTGTGAAGCACATTGTTGCAGCGTCATTGGCTGGAGTGGCGCCTGACGGACAGCACCGCAAGCCAATAGGAGGCCGCGCTTTCCTGACAGCTGCGTTGTAAGAGCCAGTCAAGCCCGGGTTTGGGTTTAACTCTTTAAAGGTGAGTGCGCGGAGTGTGGGAAAGTTGTTAGTAGTAAATGTGCCACGTCCTCTAGGAAGGAAGGGGGAGTCCTGAACTTGCCAGAGGCCGTTGTCCCTAGCCTTTCAACGACATTCTTAACTCTATGAAGTCAAGGGCCCTTTCTCTGGTTTTGTAGGGACTTCTTTCCTGCTTGGGCAACATGAGGCTTTTCTTGTGGAACGCGATCTTGATGCTGCTAGTGACTTCTTTGATTGGGGCTCTGATCCCCGAGCCAGAAGTGAAAATCGAAGTTCTCCAGAAGCCATTCATCTGCCATCGCAAAACCAAAGGAGGGGATCTGATGTTGGTCCACTATGAAGGCTATTTAGAAAAGGACGGCTCTTTATTTCACTCCACGTAAGTAATTAAGCCCTGCTTGTAAAGTATGATAATAAAGAACCCACCCAGTCCCCCATACCAGCTCTCCAGCAGGAAAGGTAGTGTGAATCTGGTTTTACCTCTCTTATAAAAAACTGAAATATCTTATTTCCTTCATTGGGGAAATGCAATTGTTTAAAGCCAATTCTATATAACGAGACAGGCCTTTGAAGGTATTATTGGAAACTTGGTCTGGAAGAAAGCGGTTAGTTTTTTTATTATAAAAATTAGAACTAGAATTTTTGAAATATTACATAAATATCTAGACATAATTATGCAATAAGTAGAAAAAGCTCAAAAGACTTCTTATGTCTCAAACTCCATTCATTAGGGAAAAAATGATTTGGTTCCATTTTTAATTTGGTGTAGGTGATATTAACGTAAAACTTTTCACAGCAACTTGACCAGCAAAATACACAATCACTTATTTGCCTGTTGAAGGATATACTAATGCTATTTCGTTGACCTATTTAACTTTTGTTCTGACAGTTGACATTTTGGTCAAGGCACAGGACCATGATTTCTGTAGTCATTTGCTGCTTTCTGGAAAGTAAGACTTCATTGATAGGGTGGATGTCCTTATTTTACATGAGGGATTTTCAGATGGTTGCACTATACTTTCTGTTCTCTAAACAAAGAAACTGTGACATGGAAAAGGTTTACAAATGTAATGATTTCCAATTAGACATTGGTTTTCATTCATTCCATTTCAAAAATATTTAGTGAGCATTTTCTTTATGTCAGGCTCTGCACTGGGTACAAAGGAGAGTAAAAAATTTTGGCTTTGAATCGTCCTCATCTGTTCATTTATCTATCAAACTCTTGTTGAATGGCCACAAGTCAGGCCCTGGAAATGTATAGATGACTACGAGCAGGTTCTTGTCGTCTATCATCAGTATCTACCTAGGGGAGGAAGACAAGTAAATAACTCAATGATATAGAGCGGCGGTCCCCAACCCCCCTTAGCAGTCAGTGGCCTGTTAGGAAACAGGCTGCTCAGCACCACCTGAGCTCTGCATCACACACACCCCTCCCCACATCACTCCCCCCATGCCCCCTGCCCTCGGAAAAATTGTCTTCCATGAAACCAATTCCTAGTGCCAAAAAGGTTGGGGACTGCTGATATGAGTACAGAATATTCAAAGTGTTAGCAAAATATAACAGAGCCTGGAATTGATTAAGCAGCAAGAGGTGGAAAAGAGAAAGACTTCTCAGAAACCATAAGTGAGATGGGCCTTGAAAGATGGGTAGAGTTTTCCAGGGGTAGAAAGGGGGAAGGAGGTAGAGGGAATGAAATGAGCTCAAAACAATTAAGCTTCACCACCCATCTTGGACCTCGTTTTCTTATAAACTGCCTTTACTGGGCATTCAGACCTGGTCTGTTGTGGGGTTTGGGGGAAGTGAATAGCACTCTTCTCTGAACTCTGTTAGCCCCGGTAAAAACTTCCAGAAAGATAGCTTCCCATAGAATTCTCAACAGCCCTTTCTTCTCCAGCACTTTCACAGTATTGTATGACCACTACCACCATGCATCGCCAGAACTTTTTCATTCTCCCAAATTGAAACTCACCAATTTGTTTTAACAAAGCAAAAATAAAAATCACTCAACAAGGCAGGTGCCACAGTGCACATTAAACAATATTGTGATTTGCATTTTAAATTTTAATTACATTCTTATTTTTAGTCTGGTCTCTTTTAGACCCAGCCTGATTTCTTTCAAGCCTCAGAACAAAAAAATCTGTGCCATTTTTGGTGCTATCCATGGGATATTATTCAGCAGTTCATGACTTAGTTCTATACTGGTGCGGAGATTGTAGTCATGCAGCCTTTACAAAATGGTGAGAAGCAACTAACTCCTCTGTAATATTGTGAAGAAATACCATCAGATGATCAGTCCATAAAGCATTTGCCATTTCTAGAACCATAGCCTATGTGGTAAATAGCTGTAACAAGAAATGTGCCAAAACTATAGTCTGTGCTGGGTAATAGATTGTTTCTTCCTTCTTTTTTCTTTTCTAGCCTTACCAATTTTTCTACAGTTGGCATTTTGTTACTTCAACCGTGGGAGTAAATTAAAGAAAACAGGAAAAAAATGGCATTTAGCTGTATTTAGTAACCTTGGTACCCATGAAGCCTAGTGGAATGACTTCTTTTTTTTTTTTTTTTTTTGAGACAGAGTCTCACTTTGTTGCCCAGGCTAGAGTAAGTGCCATGGCGTCAGCCTAGCTCACAGCAACCTCAAACTCCTGGGCTCAAGCAATCCTGCTGCCTCAGCCTCCCGAGTAGCTGGGACCACAGGCATGTGCCACCATGCCCGCTAATTTTTTCTATATATATTAGTTGGCCAATTAATTTCTTTCTATTTTTAGTAGAGATGGGGTCTCACTCAGGCTGGTTTCGAACTCCTGACCTCGAGCAATTTGCCCGCCTCTGCCTCCCAGAGTGCTAAGATTACAGGCGTGAGCCACCATACCTGGCCAGAATGACTTCTTATTCTCACCTACTAGATATCCTTGAATAGAACACTTTCTTTATTGCACCAAAAGAAACCTGAAGTTTCCCAGTAGCTTGGCAGATTGGTTTTCTTTGGCTAGCCTCTCTTTAGCTCATAAGCCAGGACATCTTGACTATTTCCTTCCTCCCCAGTCCTTGAGGGGCCACTCTTCCAGACTTCCCTACATAGCCCCACAGTAGACCCCAGGGGAGGGAACTGGGCCAGCGTCTGAGTGGGAATTCAGGGATGAGACACAGCCTTTTCCACCCATCAGTGCCATCAGCAGTCCCTAGATCAGGACAGTTTATAAGCAAGATATAACATGCTGTGCTCCTGACTTTCCACGTTGGTATGTATATGGACCCACATGGGTTGGGAGTAAATTCTCCTTAGCCTCTCATGCTCCTTCCCAAACTCAGCCATTTTCCATTTTTTTCTCCCTGTTCTGCAACCCAGTGCCCTTTCTGGACAGTATAACTTTGTGGTTATGACCTTGAACTTTGGAGTTAGGTCGAAGACTGGCAGGCTTAACCTCTGTTTCTTCATCTACATAATGATGTAACAGTGGTACTTACACCATAGGATTGTTGTTAGAGTTAAAAGAGGCAAAAAATTTAGGATAATATCTGGTATACAGCAAATGCTCAAACAGTTGTTAATTATTTGATTATTATTCCTTCTGCCCTTCTCAGGCTGAGTCAACTATGTGAAATTTACATCCAGAAAGCTGGGCAGTGAATTGGAGTACTATAAAGTTGACTTGGAGGTGTGTGTGTGCAAATAAAGAATTGCTGTTTTCATTAATTTCAAAGCTAATAAATTTAACTATTTATAAGTGGGAAAATCCACTAAAGCAATAAAAAAAAAATAGAGTTACTAAAGAGTTCCAATGTGTTTTCTTTCTATCATAGTCACAAACATAACAACGGTCAGCCCATTTGGTTTACCCTGGGCATCCTGGAGGCTCTGAAAGGTTGGGACCAGGGTTTGAAAGGAATGTGTGTAGGAGAGAAGAGAAAGCTCATCATTCCTCCTGCCCTAGGCTATGGAAAAGAAGGAAAAGGTAATAGCACTTCTATACTTCTTACTATAGCACTATACTTCTTTGAATTAAGAGACAGAAATTAGAGTAACTACTAGTTATTTTTTTTTCTCCTGGAAGTAAATAGAGGGCTTGTGTTCCTTTAGGGAATATGATTATGTCTTGATTATCAATTGAAATAACCAATTAAAGCAATAATATCAAATTGGGCAACTAAGCTAACAATGAGACAGCTTCTGGAAGCTTGCACTCTAATGATACTGTTCACCAATATGGCAGTTTTAAAAATTGTAAAATATACATTATATAATGTATATTATATAATTATATAATGTTTATGATGTGACTCATTTTTAAGTATGTAGTTCAGTGGCATTAAATACTTTCACATTATTGTGTGACCATCACCACTATGCATATCCAGAACTTTTTCATCCTCTCAAATTGAAACTCACCAATTTGTTTTAACAATGCAAAAATAAAGATCACTCAACATAAATGAACATTTGAAATATGGGTTTAAGGCTTTGAATGTGTTTTAGATGTGGGCTATATATGATTCGTAACAATAAAGTCTCTCATAGCTAATGCTTATTGGGAGCCTTTTCATTCCCATTTTAAAATTTACGTATAAAGCTTTTAGCAATTTATTTTAAAAGCTAATGGAGTGACATGAAATGAATTTAATTCTCCCTATGTCACAAAGCAGAAGCAAGCTGGCTAGATGGTCCAGAGAGCTTTTGTGCTAGTTATTTCAGGGTAGGCACATACAGTTGGTGTTAAATGGAAACCCCTGCAACTTTCCAAAGAGCTATTTATTTGTTAATATGTATTAAGAGGCCTGAAGATGTTCATATGCATTTTTACTATAATTCCTTTATTGAAATCTAACCTAAGGGAATAATTAGATATCAGGAGAAAGATTTATGAACAGGGATGTCCATCACTGCATTGTTTCTAATAGCAAAAAAGAAGAACTAAGTATATAATGATAAAGGTTTTAGCTAAAAAAAATATGGCCCAGTTATTTAAAACGGCATTTTCAAAGATTTTAAAAATTATATCCAAAATATGTGTGATATAATGTTGAATTGGTATATAAAAGTAGAAAATAAAGGTGTAGTGAAAGTATAGGAAAAAAGTATATACACATAGAAAGTCAATCACAAGGAAATAAGAATGTTAACAAGGGACTGTGATACTGGGAATCATATTTATTTCTGGCCTATCTTCCAAATTCTCTACATTGAGCATGTATTACCGTGTTTCCTCGCAAGTAAGACCTACCCCTAAAATGAGCCCTAGCAGGATTTCTAAGCATTTGCACAATAGAAGCCCTACCCCAAAAATAAGACCTAGTGATGGGCGTGGCTACACAGGGTATCTGCACAACCCATGCATTTTGTTGCGGAGTGGTAAAGAAGAGAGAAGCTCTTCGCATCTGCCCCATCGTGACAGCTACCAGAAAGGTGCGGGCAGCCCCACCAACAAGGTGGGCTCCCCCTGTCAGGTCCCGGCCATCCTGTGAGTGCTGCAAGCTGAGGCTTTGAGGGGAATATAACACATCCCCTGAAAATAAGCCCTAGGCTGTCTTCTTGAGGAAAAATAAATATAAGACCCTGTCTTATTTTCAGGGAAACACAGTATTGATACTTACGTAATGAAGAAAACAAATTTTTAAATCAGAACAAGACAGAAAACCATTCTGATATAGTATAAATACAGACTTCACAGCATCCTAAGGTCTTGACAACGTGGTGGGCAGGATTCCCAGCCCCAGTTTCCTGAGAAGGAAAACAGGTGCCATATGTGAAGCATTACATATTCTAAAATGGAATTAGCTCCATAAATTTTGTTCCTGGGATAGGATTTATTAACCAAACTCAACTCTTATTTTAATTATAATCCTCTTTAGAGAAGAAAATCAAGTATCTAGAAAATGTTTCTCTGGTACTTTAAAAAGTAGCCTTCTACTTTCCTTTATCTTTATTGTCTTACCTTTAACATTTATATACAGTAGTTCCCCCTTATCTGCAGTCTCACTTTTTGTGGTTTTAGTTACCTGTGGTCAACAGCAGTCTCAAAATATTCAGCTATTTAATATTTATTAAATAGCATAATAAATATTAAATATTTATGATTAATATTAATTTAATATTAATGTTAAAATATTAAATAGCATAATATTTGGAGACAGAGAAGGAAGGAGGAAGGGACCACATTCACATAACTTTTTTTTACAGTATATTGTTATAATTGTTCTATTTTATTGTTGTTAATCTCTTATTATGCCTAATTTATAAATTAAAAATAATCATAGGTATGTATGTATAGGAAAAAACATAGTATGTGTAGGGTTGGGTACCATCCACAGTTTCAGGCATCCATTGGGGGTCTTGGAATGTATCCCCTGCAGATAAGGGGGGATCACTATAGGTAGTATTAGTCCATTACTCTTTCTCCATACTATATTTAACTCATTTCCTTCAAACTGAGTGCCATGAAACTAATTCTTCTAATATGTATTTAACACCAATTTTGTAGTCTTTTAGTCATGCTTGCATGCCTCCTTTGGGAAGATACCAGTTTTATCATTGACCTAGTGCATGTCCCTTCTCTGTCTAGATCTGGAATGGTAAGCTTCAGCACACAACGTAAGTGTTTTTCTCTTTGGAACTTATACAAATGTTCTTTCATGAAAATATGTGAGATGAGGGGGTGGCTAAGACATATTCAGCATGTTTACCCAGACCTGTATGTTAAATATAGTTATAAGGAAACAAGTTTGAAAGAAGCCATCCATACTTCTCAGATGGTTTTGGTTTGTTTTGTTGTTGTTTTAGGTCCCTGGGACTTTAACAAACCTGTTTTTTGTTTTTGTTTTTGTTTTTTTTTTATTTTTAAAGAGTTTTTTAACTTCCTTCTCAGAAATTCATTTTAATTGCTCCCCTCCTATGAAATGTCTTCAACATATGTATAATGTTCTATACTAGCAGAGGTGTTTTCTAACTTTTTGAAATTTTTTAACCTTCCTGCATTATTTTTAAAGCCTGTAAAATATATCTCAGTAACATGTATTGAGAGTTTGCTATTTGTCAAGTATAATGCTAAGCACTTTGCATGGATTTTCTCCCTTCATCCTCCCAACAGATTCTTGAGGTGGGAAATATTATCATCTAAATTTTACAGATGAGGAAACTGAGGCTCAGAGAAGGGCAGATGTAAACTTGAATCCCAGACAGTATTACACCAGAGCTCATTCAATTATATACTGCCTCCCAGTGGCATAGATGGATGTACTATTAATAGGTTCATATGTACTTTTTAGGTCAGGACTTCTGACCCAAAAGTTAGTAAATTACTTGTAATGTAATTAACTCTGAATTATCTAAAGGCTTTTAAGTCATTCCTGACATATAATATGTAATATCTCATATTACATATTTGAAATGTAATACCTGGATCATTGGGTATATCTCTGTATATGTATTTGTGTAATTTTTTTAAATTGTTAAGCCCAAAACAGAAAGCTTTTGCTCTACTAGGGTGGATTATTCTTTCTTTTATTCTATTCTACTATTACTCATAGTATAAGTAATTTCCATCATATATGACAATCTTAGGAAGGTTTCTTAATTCAGCTGAAAAATACTTTGTCAGTTACCACTAGTTTTCTATTATTCAAACTTTTGATCTTTTAAATAAAACTTTCCCCCTTCTCTCCTCACATCAGGTAAAATTCCTCCAGAGAGTACACTGATATTCAACATTGATCTCCTAGAGATTCGAAATGGACCAAGATCCCATGAATCCTTCCAAGAAATGGATCTTAATGATGACTGGAAACTCTCTAAAGATGAGGTGACCCTCTCACTCCCTCCCTCCATTCCTTCGTCTCACTTTTTTAGAAATATATTTAAAATTTTTATTTTTATTTAGATAAAATGTTATTTATTTACAAGTTTTCTTAAAATGATGATGCTTTGAAAGTTGACTTTTTCATAGGAAATCATTGTTTTGGAGAGAAATATACTGAGACTTAAAAAGCACCAATTCGATCTTTTGCTTTCACCCCAATGCTTAGGGGTGAAAAAGTTTTTTTCCTTTTATCCCAATGCTTAGAGCTCACTGTATCTTATCCTTACCTTTGGGTCCTCAGAAGATCCATTTTGGCCAAGACAATTCCCATTTGCAGTTACTGTGTAAGAAACTAGATGTCCTGAGAAATATCTCATGTGGACAGTTTCTGTTTAAAAGTGTGGACTGGCTGTTAAATGCATTTTGTAGTGATTTCCTAGCAATTAACAGCAAGTAATTTACATGTTCAGTTTTGTTTAGGTTAGCACTTGGAGTAAGGACACTCCAGCAAAGGTTTTCTGTGGCAGGGGACCTTCCCCAGCCCCATCAAAGTCTGGGCCTTTGGGTTAGGAGAAAGGAAGGAGAGGCTTCTCCCTATAATTTAGGCTTTTGTAGCCATTGCTACACATACCTGCCTTAGTCTGGATGCTGTGGAAAAAGAAGTGGAGGTAGATATTTATTCCCATGTTTTTTTATCTACCTGCAGTCTCCATTCTGGTCGAGCTGGTCAGATAGCAAATCATTTTTTATTTTATGCTTTGATCAATTTCACTTTTTTAATGGCTAGGACATGGTTGAGTCTTGAATAAACTAAGTTGTTATGAACCACAGAGTCATGATCCACAGCCACTAAATTTATCATGCCTCCTAGTGTTACCAGTCATATGCCTTTTTCTTCTGTCCAAGATAAAATTTAATTCCCGTTCATTAAAAAATATTGAATATTCAACATATTCATATGTTATGTGTGATCATATGTTGTATGATCATATGTTCATATGTTGTTCATATCATATGTTGTATAATTATATGTTGTATTCATATGTTGTATGTAATCAACCCAGTATAAAAATATTTATTTAAATCTTTCTCCTACCCACATCCTCTTCTACCCTGTGATCCCCTCATCCAACTTTATTAATTTCTTATATATCCTTTCAGTGTTTCTCTATGCAAATATAAACAAATATAAAGATATATTCTTATTTTCCCCTTTCTTACACAAAAGGTAGCAAACTACTATTGTTTGGCATCTTGCTTTATTCACATAATATATCCTGGAGGTATATTCTACATTAATTCATAGAGTTTCATCCTTTTCTTTTTTTAACAACTGCATTAAACCACTTAAAAATAAACATATACTATCTGTTTGCATGGTGAGGGTGTGAGCAGGAAGATTTTAAATTGCTAATTAAACAGAAGGAAGAGTGGAGATATAATTAAAAATGAAAATACAGGTTGAATTGTATAATGGTGAATCTAGTAGGAAATTGGGAACAGTATTTTGTTTATATTCTTAAACATCTGAATGACAAGGAAAAATGATAGCCTAACCACTTATCAGTGGCTTTGATTTGAGCAAAATCAAATTTGCTTTGATTTCTGAAATTGGAAGGTTGTGAGTAGGTTCACTGAGTGTGGCATGATTATAGCCAGAGCCCCAGCACCTACTACTTGATGACATTTATTCAAGTTAAAAATGCCACCATTTAATCTGGTTTTAAGAGAGGTGTTTGGAATTCTGATTCAATAGAAAAATAGACATGGATAACTCAGTGGATTGAAAGACAACAGTCTTTCAAATAGTTGGCTTTATTTAGACTCAGAGTAAGAACAGGTAGTATGCTTTCACTGGGTATTTTCCAAATAATATAAGGCTTATATTTCATATAAGGATTATATATGTGATATGAGCTTTAACTCTGAGCAATATTGTATGTCTCTACTATAACAGTATAGCAACAGTATTTTTTAAGAGAAAAAATTTCTTATAATTCTTTTACTGTCATTAGAAATATGTCATAAAATAATCAATAATATGTTAGGGTATACTTTAAAATAACTAAAAGACTGAAATTGAAATGTTCCTAACACAAAGAAATGTTAAATGCCTGAGGTGATGGATATCCTAACTACCCTGTTTTGATTAACTCACGTTGTATGCCTGTATCAAAAAAGAAAGAAAGAAATATATCATAAAGTAGTTGTTTAATAGTTATTATATATAGTTAAATGAATTGCCAGTCTGTGTCTTTGATACTAATTGGCTCGATGTGAGCATCTTATGAATCAGAGTTATTAACGAGATCTGTTATTTTGTAGGTTAAAGTGTATTTAAAGAAGGAATTTGAGAAGCATGGTGCAGTGGTAAATGAAAGTCATCATGATGTTTTGGTGGAGGATATTTTTGATAAAGAAGATGAAGATAAAGATGGATTTATATCTGCCAGAGAATTTACATATAAACATGATGAGTTATAGTGCTATGTCTACCCATTTTATATAGTATCCATCCTAAAAGAGAGGGTAATCATCTTTAAAGAAAGTTTTATTTTTTAACAATACTCTGTTCTCGCTTTTGTTTTTTATTTTTATATATTTTTTCTGACTCTTATTTAAAGAACCCATTTCTTTCTGGTAAGTTATTGGGAAGAAAAAATTAATTTGAATAGAAGACTTCTGGACTATTTTCCACTTTTATATATGAAGATTTTTTTTTTTTTTTTTTACTTTCTTAGTTGTCATTTAAAACTATTGCAACTGGGAACATACCATAACATGAGACCAACTTACAGCGCAAATCAGCACCCTGTATTTCTGCCTCCCACTATTTTCTCCAAGTTAGAGACTGACATATTTGAAAAGCCTTTTGCAATAGCCCAAAGCTTGCTATTTTCATGTTATAATGAAATAGTTCATCTTTTACTGCCTCCGAGTCTCTGCTTGAGGACAAAAGGAAAATTGTTATTGGACTTTACTTGGTAACAGCTACTGCTTCACTAAGGAGATGTGCAATGCTGAAGTTGGGAACAAAGTTAATAACTTATGTAAATATGTATGCGTTGAAACATTCTGCCTATGACTTAAGCTGCATAAAGTTCAGCTCCTAGTAACTAATGGCCTATTATGATAAATAGGACAAATCATTTATGTGTTTGTTTCTTTGTAATTTATCAAAATACTGTAGCCAACATAGAGAGTAGTATTTATATTCAACGTTTACTTTTTAAGGCTAGCAGGTTACTCTTCCTGGTTCTTAATGGTAAAGTCTGTAACTAATGTATTATACTACAATAACATTGTATTATAAGAGAAATTAGTAGACCAAAATTTTCCCATTTTTGCCTCATCAAAAAATGAGGCAAACCTAGAGTAGCTACTATTGAATAGACATCTATCCTGGGTCAAAAAATTGATGATTTTTATAATTTTATCTGAAATTGGCTTTTATCCTTAGTACTTTTAAACACAAATCTTCACTTACTAGCAATAGTCCTTTATAGTTTACAAAATGACATCAAGTGTATTATTGCCTTCAATTTTCATTGCTCTGAAGTCTATGAAAAAATCTGGTTGATCTTACTGGATCTATTTTATTGATGAGGAAATTATCATTCAAAGGGATTGATTGCTATGCCCAAGGTCAACAGCTAACCTGTAGAACCAGTTTTTAGTCTCCCAGTTCTGTTCCTCCTACTGCCCTCTACTAATGACAAGGTGAAATTTTTCTTTGAATTTGTTGGGCCTAATTCTCTCTTCAATTTGCTCTTCTATTGTTTGCCTTTGGGTCATTATCCTCTGAAGATGGATTACTGACTATTTTTGACACATTAGAATTCTCCCCATGACCTAGGAAAAGCCCCAGTTTCATAGAATAATCTTGGGGTTAGTTCTGAATTGCCTCAACACCCTCAAACAGTGAGAGGTTCCAGGTGTATGTCTTAGTTCTTGCATTCCTACTTACCTACATGGTTTTTTGGGAAGACTTATGAACAATTATTACATTATATGTAGACTACTTTCACCAATTATATATTGACATTTTCCTCACCAAAACATAGTTCATGGGAAGAATATACTGTAACAACTGTCTCCAAAGAAATCAGCAACATCTTAAAAACTATTAAGTTGTCTCTGACGTTTTTCCTGAACCCAGAGAAGTTATAAGCCACATTACAGAAAGTCTTCACTGTGTGAGGAGGGAAAAGAAAGTAGTCTGTCCTATGGTGTTACTTTGTATAAACATTACTGATGCTACCTATATCTATAGTAGAGCAAGAAAAGTAAAAGGAATTTTGATTATTCAGGCAGCATTCTTGTTTTAATCTTATGTGAATTTGTATCAGTTCTCACCTAAATATTTGGATGCAAGTGTGAAATGAAAACATACACATAGACTATGGTTGTTTCTAAAACTATCTGCTTTTTTTGGTTTAGCTGTGTCTTTGCACCTTTCCATTAATGGGAATAATCAAACATGAACTGTGACTTCACACGTACATTCATGCCTCACTTCACAAGGAGGATGCGTTCTAAGAAATGCACCATTAGGTGATTTCATGGTCATGAGAACATCATAGAGTGTACTTAACAAAACTAGATAGTAGAGCCTACTGTATACCTAGGCTATGTGTTATAGCCTATTGCTTGTAGGCTACAAACCTGTACAGCATATTACTATACTGAATACTGTAGGCATCTATAACACAATAATATTTGTATATCTAAACATAGAAAAGGTACAGTAAAAAACATGATTAAAAAAATGGTACACCTATATAGGGCACTTGCCATGAATGGAGCTCATGGGTCTGGAAGTTGCTCTGGGTGAGTTAGTAAGTGGTAAGTGAAAATGAAGTCCTAGGATATTACTGTACACTACTGTAAACTTTGTAAACACTGTATACTTAGGCTAAATTAATTTTTTATTCAATAACAAATTTACTGTAAATTTTTAATTTGTACACTTGTTAATTTTAAAAAACTTTTGACTCTTTTGTAATAACACTTAGCTTATAATACAAACGTGTTGAACAGCTGTACAAAAATACTTTATATCCTTATTCTGTAAGCTTTTTTCTATTTTTAAAACTTTAGGCCGGGCGTGGTGGCTCACGCTTGTAATCCTAGCACTTTGGGAGGCCGAGGCGGGTGGATTGCTCAAGGTCAGGACTTCGAAACCAGCCTGAGCGAGACCCCGTCTCTACCAAAAATAGAAATAAATTAATTGACCAACTAAAAATATATATACAAAAAATTAGCCGGGCATGGTGGCACATGCTTGTAGTCCCAGCTACTCGGGAGGCTGAGGCAGGAGGATCGCTGAGCCCCGGAGATTGAGGTTGCTGTGAGCCAGGCTGACGCCATGGCACTCACTCTAGCCTGGGCAACAAAGTGAGACTCTGTCTCAAAAAAAAAAAAAAAAAAAACTTTAATTTTTTTTATCTTTAAACTTTTTTTTGTTAAAAACTAAGACACAAACACACACATTAGCCTAGGCCTACACAAGGTCTGGATCATCAAGATGTCATTAGGTGATAGGAATATTTCCAGTTTTGTTATAATCTTATGTGACTACCATCATATGTGCAGTTTGTTGTTGACCAAAATGTCATTATGAGGTGCATGACTATATAATTTGACTCATTAATACTGCTCAATGTGTCATATTTAAATTCATATGCCTATGTTGTATTCTGTTCAAAATAAAGTTTATTTGGGAAACAGTTGGTTTGTGAAAAATTCTCCAAGTACCAATTTCCTTAGAAGTTTGATTTTCTTAACTGTTATTCTGAGTTTTATGTCAAAAGTAGGTGAAAGATGGACAGGTAGTGGGAGGAGAGAAGTATACTGACACTTTGAGTGTGCCTCTGATTATCTACCCTTTGTAGATATATTTGTAAAAACATTTTTAAACAGCTGTGCTTTGAGGCCTGGCACGGTGGCTCATTCCTGTAGTCCTAGCACTCTGGGAGGCTGAGGCAGGCAGATCACTCAAGGTCAGGAGTTTGAAACCAGCCTGAGCAAGAGCGAGAGCCCATCTCTACTAAAAATAGAAATTAATTGGCCAACTAAAAATATATAGAAAAAAAAATTAGCCGGGCATGGTGGCACATACCTGTAGTCCCAGCTACTAGGGAGGCTGAGGCAGAAGGATCGCTTGAGCCCATGAGTTTGAGGTTGCTGTGAGCTAGGCTGATACCATGGCATGCTAGCCCCGGCAACAGAGTGAGACTCTGTTTCAAAAAAAAAAAAAAAAACAACCAGGGTTTGTCTTGCAAAATGGACTTAGCAAGGAAAAAAATAAAAAGGAAAAAAAGCTGTGCTTTGGTTTAATTGTTTTGAAATAAACATTCAACCATGAGCATGGGGCTATAGTTAATAGTGAATTTTTAGCACTGGAGAGAGTGTTTTGTTTTCTAGAGGGGATTTTTGAGGGAGGAGGAGGGTGGTTATTATCACTGTTGTTTTGGTTTGGGATTTGTGTATAACAGGTGGTCATTATGATGATTTATGCCTACTGAGTAGATTAGTGCTATAAAATACCTTATGTGATTAAATCAAATGCTGAGTTGCCATAAAAATAACAAGAATGATTTCTGATTCAGATGAAGTAATTAGCCATGTGGATCTTCCCTGTGGAAATGAATTTGTACTTTCCATTTTATTCATGGTGTAGAATATTGCTTTCTCTAATGCTACTTGAATATCACCAGGCTATCTTTCCCGACTGAATTGAGTATATGAGTGATTTCTCAGCATTGTTTGGAAACTACAAGAGGAGAAAAAGGAATCTGATGGCATGTTATAAGAAAAAATACTTCTCCCACCTTTTTTATTAAAGCAATTTAGCATTTTAATAGTAACCCTGGAAAAAGATAAGAAAGAGCTTCTTTACCAGAGATGCAGAGCACTTGGACATTAGAGTTTTTGTTTTGCTTTGCTTTTGTTTCATACCCACTTTAGTTTGAATTAGAATCTAAAATGTTAAACATGATTATAAATTATAAATATGCCCATTTGAAAGCATTATTATACTGGTGGTACTTCCACCTCTTAATATCCACAGCATTCTTTTCAATAGGGTTTGTGTATTCCCTTTAGTACAATGAAATCCACATGTTCTTATATATATGAGTTTGGAGTCTTTATTTGAAGAGAAATTCTTTCCTTTCTCTAAAACACTGTTTTGGTCTCTCTCACCTTTGCCTCTGCTATCTCCAGCTCCTTGCTTCAGGCTGACTGCAGAGAGAGCCTTAGCAAACATTGGTTTTAGAACTTAGTCCTCAAATTCAATAAGAGGCATGGCTTGGTTCCTAAAGGTTGCAGTGATGTACCAGTGATTTACACTTTGGTGTGCAGCAGAATCGGTATGTTAGAAGTGCAAATTCCTGAACCCTTTCCCTAGGGATTATCACTAATTCTTGGATTGGGCCCATGAATCTGCATTTGAGTCCACTTTCTAGGTGACCCTGATGGAGGTAGTCCAAAAACCTTGAGTCTGCCCTTGAACATACAGTCTCCTTTATTTTTCTGTTCTATGAGCATCATTTCTTGCATTCCAGAAAGCACTGTGCATTGGGGCAACTAATTGTGCCTAAAAATGAATAAACAGCTAAAAGGATAAATTATGTGGAGATACTATCTTCCCCAGGGTTAGAAATTTTTATGACTCTGAATTGTTACAGCAAAAATTAGATGGTCAGCAAGTACGTTTTTGTGAATATCTTCCCCACTAGAAGAGGGAAAAGAGCACTGGACTTTCCCAAAATTACTCTTCTGTTATTTTTTCAGAATTAACTGCAACACACCCTAGTGGAAAAATGTCATATCTCTCTCTATATATATATATACATATATATATAGAGAGAGAGAGAGAGTGTGTGTGTGTGTGATATATGTGTGTGTGTGCATGTATAATGTGTATTGCATACAGTATATACCATTTATACTATACATATATAGGCTTTTTTTTTTTTTGAGACAGAGTCTCACTCTGTCACCCTGGGTAGAGTGCAGTGGTGTCATCGTAGCTCACAGCAACCTCAAACTCCTGGGCTCAAGCAATCCTCCAGCCTCAGCCTCCTGAGTAGCTGGGACTATAGGCACACACCACACCTGGCTAAGTGTTCTATTTTTAGTAGTGACGGGGTCTGGCTCATGCTCAGGCTGGTCTCCAACTCCTGAGCTCAAGCAATCCACCCGCCTCAGCCTCCCAGAGT